GAGTGACCAGGCTAGCAGGGAGGGGGCAGTTGGGGTTGACCTGGCCGGCAGTGGGGGCAGTTACGGGCAATCAGGCCTGCAGGTGGGGGCAGTTAGGGGCAACCAGGCCGGCAGGCAGGTGAGTGATTAGGAGCCAGCAGTCCAGGATTGTGAGAGGGATGTCTGACTTCCGGTTTAGGCCTGATCCCCGGGCCTAAACCCCACATTTGAGAGGGTGCAGGCTGGGCTGAGGGGACCCTGCTGTGCACGAATTTCGTGCACTGGGCCTCTAGTATATATATAAAAGCCTAAGCAATGGGCTGATAGCTGTGACATGCACTGACCACCAGGGGGCAGAAGCTCAACACAGGAGTAGAAACCACAGGCATGGAAACATGGAACAGACTGATAAATCTCAGAGGGAAGGGTGGAGGGGAGAGGGCGGGAAGAGATTAACCAAAGATCTTATATGCCTACTAGAGGCCCAGTGCACGGATTTGTGCACCGGTGGGGTCCCTAGGCCTGGTCTGCGGGGATCGGGCCAAAACCGGCTCTCTGACATCCCCCAAGGGGTCCCAGATTGTGAGAGGGCATAGGCCAGGCTGAGGGACCCCAACGGTGCACGAATCCATGCACTGGGCCTCTAGTCTAAAATAAAAATGTATTCATATTTGTATAAAGATACACAATAATAAATATGCAAATAAACTGCATATACAAAATAATTGTCCTAAACTTTAAAACAGTTACTCTTTAGTAGTACTGTTAGATCATCACAATAAGAACTTTTAGGAAGTCCTACTAATGCTAACTGAAAGCCAGCCACCCCGTTGTGTAATTCTGAGTACAGATTACTATCTGAAATAGGGGAAGGAGTGGAAAAAACTCAGTGGTTCATTTACAAATCTATTTCATACTAAAATCTGTGAATTGTTTCTATATAAACCTAAGCAGTATTCTAAAATGATCATGTTTACATTTATAGTACAGATGAGAGATATACTAGGACTATTAGGTAAATTAACTTTTTATATTCTAATTAGTAGCTTTAACTTAAGTGTGTTCTTATTTTCCAGTGTAACAGTGTTTTGAAGCTTCTTCTGGGAGACTGTTTTGCACAATAAAAGACTATTTGGGGGACAGGGGAGTTGATTAATGCTAATTGACTAGACCAGTGGTTCTCAACCTTGGCTGCACATTAGAATCACCTGGGAATCTTTTTAAAATCCTGATTTCTGGGCCTCATCCTCTGGAAATTCTGTTTCTTTGTTACTAATGTTGTGTCCCACTCCATAACAAACAGAATTTCCAGAGGATGAGGCCCAGAAATCAGGATTTTAAAAAGATTCCCAGGTGATTCTAATATGCAGCCAAGGTTGAGAACCACTGGACTAGACCATGTACTTTAGAAGTGTCATCAATTTAATTACCAAACCTTACCATTTAGAAAAGAAGTATAGCATAGGTTCTGTTAATTACATGCAGAGTGTTTTGTTTGTTTGCGTTGTTACTTAAAATATTGGGAAAAAATTGAGAATGGGCTCTGCTTTTATTCAGATATGCATATGAAATTTTTTTGAACCTTAGAATTTCTCTAATTCAGTGGTTTTGAACCTTGGCTGCACACTAAAGTCACATAGGAGCTTTAGAAAAACCTTGACATCTGGGTCCCACCCAGAGATTCTGCTGTAATTAGTCTGGGATGCAGCCAGTTCTCCCCAGGTGATTCGAATGTGCAGCCATGCTATAGACCTCTGATGTAGGCTAACCCCCACTCCTGCAGAGAGGTGATACAGTCACAGAGGAAATTATTTATATTGTATATATTTGTAGTTGTTTAATATTCAGAAGCAGAGGGAAAAGATTGTTGTATTGTCATACCTCATACCTATTTGTTTCCAAAATGAGAATGAAGGACAATTATTTGGGGCAGAGTATTGATTCTTAAGTAGCAACTCATATGCAGAGCAGGTGAATTGAGAAACATTCCTTCTTACACAGGCAGTGGAATCCCTAAGAGAAGTTTATTTTTCCAGATATGTGCTACTAAGGTATTATGGAAAATAAGACTAGGTGAAGAACTGATGAAACTGTTTCACACATGCAAAGTTAAATAGAGATTAGTATTAATAAGAAATAAATGTTGAAATGAACTGCAAATATAAACAATGCAAATCCATTGCCTTCCTATGAAAGGTTTGTTTTACAGTTCTTCTTATCAACTTTTAGGTTGTTTCCAATTATAATTGTTGTTAGTACAAATAATGCTGCAGAAAACACCCTTATATATACAATTTCTGCACAAATGCAAATATTTCAATAGAATACATCCAGAGTAGAAATCGTTGGGTCACTGATTTTTACTGTGGGCAAACACTACCTTATCTCAAGCCAAGCTATTAAAACACTCCAATTTTTCTGCCCTCCTCAGGAAAGGCTGCCTGACACTATTCACTCAGACAAAGGTAGTAGTAACCTTTGGTTCAGAGAGAAGCAAGAAAACAAGGCTATCTTGGCTAATAGTAGCTAATGCTCATTTACAGAGTATTTACTGTGGCACTGTCTTAAATGTTTTTACTTGCATTATCTAGTCTTCACTCGAGTGGGCAGGTTCTTTAATCCTTGTTTAACAGATGAGGTTAAGAGTTTTAGGAATCAGACCTTACTGCAATCTGAGGTCTTCTACCAAGTCAGGCCTTCACAGTGGGACTTTGACTTTCTATCTTATAAATTCACAAAAGTCTAGACATGCCCGTAATAACATTATCCACAGTCCTGGTTCTGAACCAGTTACGTACAAGCAGGTACAGCTCACCTGCGGAGGAGAAATGCTGCCAGGGTCGGTGCTGTCCTGGTGCACAGGTGGTATTGAAACAAAGGGACAAATATGTAAAAACCATTTGTCTGCCATGACTGCTTGATATCCCTTTGCTTTTTCACTCACAGTAACCTCTGAAAATAGTAATACACAGGTATTTTTATGATGTTACTTCAGGAAAGTCAGGGTGGAATGTTTTACAAATCAGTTAGATTTTTGTAGTTTTTAAAATTATTTTCTGTCAATGGAAAATATAGTAAGTACCATTCAGTTTATAGTCTTCTGAAGATTACATTGCCAAACATATAGCAAAATTTCCAAACTAAGTGCTTATTTAATCACATGGTCAATTATAAGCATGAAACATAATATAAAAATGATTAGTTCAAGAACAAAATGAATTTTTTTACCTACTGTGTAGTAAAGCATTTCCCTGGGAAACTGCCTACTTTCTCAACATTTAATGCTGTGTTGTGTTTTTTTCTCTAGAACACATTTTAAATTATTACTAAAATGATTTCTAAAGCAGACTTACTAAGACATTTTTCTGTCATTTTCTAGGTGGAGGTAAAGCCATATGTGCTAGATGACCAGATGTGTGATGAATGCCAGGGCGCACGCTGTGGTGGAAAATTTGCTCCCTTTTTTTGTGCCAATGTCACTTGCCTGCAGTATTACTGTGAGTTTTGTTGGGCAAATATCCACTCTCGTGCAGGACGTGAGTTCCATAAGCCATTGGTAAAGGAAGGTGCTGACCGCCCACGTCAGATCCACTTCCGCTGGAACTAGGAGTAGCAAACCTGCTTCCGTTGGACAAGGAGAGAAAGGCTGCATGTGGCTTACTGTGTCTGAAGATACTGACATGCGGAAGAAATAAGTGCATTCTTCTGCTTTCACCCAACTCAATACATGCATCTTTATCAGCAGCCAAAACACTACAAGCCTCTTGTTTTTCACCAAAACCCTACATCTCAGGCTTACTAATTTTTGTGATATTTTCATGTTAAAATAAAATGTTTTTTTGTATTTTCTCCAAGTTATTTTTATATGTAAAGTTAAAATTAGATATGAGAATGTTTTGCGTAGGGGCAAACAGTCTGCTGCTATATAGTGGGTGAAGCGTGCACTTATTTCTAAACGTGGGTTTTTAACTTCAAGATCTGCCCCAGTAATTTACCAAAGGTAGCAAAATAATAGTGAAGATGGAATATGTCTGCTACAAATGCTTATTTTTATTGTTGCTATTTTCAGTGTATACATAAACTAAAATTAGGGTTGATTTTTTTGCTCTCCATTTTGACTTGCAAGAAATAATACCTCAAGATAATCTGATTTATTAGCTATTTTTAAACATTTTTAATCACAAGCTGTATTAGCTTTGCTGCTATATAGGTGTTATGTGTAAATGCCACCTATTAATACGGGATTGAAAACGTTAGAGACACACTGCATTGCAGATAAAATGCAGGCAGCACAATATGGCCTAAACTGCCATAGTTTTAGAATGTGAAAAATCAATGCATGTTTACTTACCTGTATACACCATATGCATGCACTAGAATTATTAACAAGAGGTGAGGTATTGCAAATGTTCAAAAACAGCTCTCTTGAATCTAGGTAGCATGAACAAATTATAAAATTTGTTTAAAAAAAGCAAACTTGCATGCATTATTGTGACTTCAAGTTTAAAAAATTGCCCTACATGTGTACAATATGCATATTAGTTTTAGAGAGTGCAGCCATTTTGTGATCTGGTCCGT